ATACTCACATTTGTAATCAAGAATGCTTAGTGCACTGTGTGGAAGTTTAGGGACGCAACCACCTTTCCGAGGACGTGGTTGGGAAGAGATAAGTGTTAAGACTAAACAGGAGCAAGGTTGGACAGTGAATGGAGCCATCAACACCAGCTGCAACGTGATGTTTTTGTAACAATTGCACACATGTACGTAATTTACACTCACATACACACACATAGTCAAACAAGTTCAGTGTGTCTTCAACAGCCCCCACCCTTTAGGTTGGACACACCTATGTAGTAGATTTCCCAATAAATAAGGGGGTGAAGGGGGAGATCGTGAGGGGTGACGTGCCGAGAACTGAAACCGAACGCTTCTCCTCGTTCCCTCCTGGTACCAGAATTGAGTCTCCTGTCTCCTCCTTGTGTTTTATTCCTGAGTGTCAAATTGGATAAACCTGACAATGATCATCCTTCGTGTGATATATATATATTTTTTAGAATATTTGAATCCTTGCTAACTGTGTCAAGCAAAAAAAGAAAGTGGTCAGACGAATATGTACAACATGCATCACAGAACGGGATGGGACTCAGCGTGCTATCTGCATGATTTGTCATGCCAAGTTGAGCAACTCTAGTCTCGCACCGACAAAACTGAAGGAACCCTTCTCGAATCCGATTTTTATTTTTCAGTAAGGGTTCGGTGAATGTGCATATAAACTGGTTGGGTTCGGTACCTCTCACAAGGTTAAGAACCACTGCACTAACACATTCACTACTTCTGATTGATGATTGACATTATTACAACTGCATTATCACCGGTTCCAGCAAGTAGTAGGGCTGGCTGCACAAAATTGGAAAGATATGCGATATGAATGTTGTATATTTTGATATTAATATTATTGCAATATTTAACATGCACCTAAAGAGAAGACATCTAATGAAATGCTCAGGAAATTAATACAATGTAATCTTTGTTGTTACTCCTCCTTCATTCACTGTCATTTAAAATGTTTTATCCATACATACATACACACATATATATATATATATATATATATATATATACATCTATATATCTATAGATATATAGATGTATATATGTATATATCTATATATAGAGTACATACATACATACATACATACATACATACATACATACATACATACACATACATATATATATACAGTCAAACCTTGGTTTTCGAAAAAAAACTTAAAAGTTGGATCATGTTATGACTAATTTCTGCAACGGTGTTGAGATGCTTCACTTGTTGCATAATATTCCTCAATATTCCTTTATTTGAAGGACTTTACCTAACCCAGTCAGTACGAGAACTTTCTCAAATCATGCTAGATCAGGAGTGCCCAACCAGTTGATCGCGGTTGATCTTTAGACCCCGGACGGATCCCAAGTCGACTGCAAATGTATTACAGTCGAACCTCGGTTTTCGAACGTCTCTGTTCTCGACCAAATCGGTTTTCGACCAAGAATTTCGAGTTTTTTATGCCTCGGATTACGACCGAAATTCGGTTCTCGACCAAACTGAGCGCACTTGAATGCGCCACTCGACTTCTCTCGACTTCCTTTCACAAGGAAGTGACGCTTCCTCAGGTTGACGGAGAAGTGATGCCTCCGTTGTGAGCAGACGTGTTCAATAAAGATTTTTAAAAAAGCAGACGTGTTTGTTGAGATCGACGCAAATTGGACTGTTATTTCTGCATGGCACCAAAGAAAGCAAGTGGTAGTAGTAGAGCTGCTGAAAAAAGAGGAAAATAGTGCGCAAAACTATTGAATTCAAGAAAGATTTGATAGTGAAATATGAACCAGGTGTGCACGTGTCTGTGTTGGCTAAGGAGTTCGGCATGCCGAAATCAGCAGCATCCTAAAAAAGAAATACCATCAGTGAACAAAGGCCACAAATATTTGAGGACATGGAGAAACGTTTGCTTATTTTCATAAATGAAAAACAGCTAGCAGGGGACAGTCTTAGTCAAGATACGATTTGTGGCAAAACAAGACAATTGTATGGAGATTTGATAAAAAAAGGATCCTAGTATTGCTCCTGAAGAATTTGATTTTAAAGCAAGCAGAGGATGGTTCGAAAAGTTGAGGAAAAGAAGTGATTCGTCATGGGGAGGCAGCCAGTTCAGACAAGAGCCCTGTTCACACGGCACACATTTGGTCCGACGCTGCACCGAAATATTTTGTTGCGATGTATTTTACACCGGAGCAAATTTTGTGGAGCATTCACACGTGCAAAGCCGCTGAGCGTGACAACTCCGGCGCAGCGTCGAAGCAGCTCCACTTGCGGTCACACGTGCAATTTCTGCTCCGGACCAAAACGACAGGAATGCGGAAGTAAAACAGGTTCGGGTCGGGCTTCTCTCTCGCAGACTTTTATTTATTTTTCTTTTAATAAATATTATGGTGGACACTATTCTGTCCTTGTTCAGAATAGATCCACTTGTCGGCAGTCGTGGAATAAAGACGTGTTTACAGTCAATCGTGTGTGCTCCTTATGACTGCCACAATATATGTTTTAAAAAATGTATACTAAAACAATGTGCGGATACTAAACTAAGGAATACTTGTTTTAAAACAAACAATTTGGATAAAACAGAGAATGCGCTGTAATTTAACTGCTATTTAACTGCTAAACAGGAGCGCGGCGGCCAGATCAGTGCGCATGTATGTTAATTTCGTTTAAACAATCCTGTAGAAATAATTTCAGATATCTTGACCTATTTATTTCATTTGAATTATTCTATTTAAAGCCTAGTAAGCCGCAGAATTTCTCTGCATAATTAAGCAAATGCACATCGAGAATTCTCTTTGTCTGGCCTCTTATTCTGTATTTCAGCGTTATTTCGTTGTGCAAATGCATTGATAATGTTCATAAAAATATGTCGATTATTTTAACCGTAAGAAATCTTGTGTTTTTTTCTCCCAAAAATACTCACAAATAAAATATGAAATGTCGGGTTTGCTTCAGGCTCGGGCCTGCAAATTGGGCTCGGCTGACGTCACCGCTTTCTCGATTTTCATTCTCGATTCTCATCTTGATC